TCGCAAAGTTTTTTAGATAAAAGTGCACCCATACAAGTATATTACACTCACACACACACGCATACACTCATAGGCTTCATGTCTATTGCGTTAAATGCAGCACGCCGCACAGTCTGCCACAAAATTACTTTTCTCGGGCTATTTATAGGCTTATCTAAAGCGATGGCGGAATTTTCATTGGCTTGTGCTATTGTTTTTGTAAATATTAATTAGTTTGTGTTTTGGATTGCAACAATCAAAACAACAACAACAGCAACGAGAATACAATAAAAAGGGGGAATGCAAACAAATTGGTTCAGTTTTGCGTGTCATGGCGAAATTATCACCAGAATGCCGTGTGTGCTAAGTGTGTGTGTGTGCGTGTGTGTGTTTGTGTGGGAGTGTAACTGTACGTGTAAGAGCATGTATGCTGTACATGACGCAGACAGCGTCTGAGTGGGGGCATGGTGAAATTGCAGTGCAGACACAGACGCTGCCGCCGCCGCCGCCGCCGTCGTCGTCGTCGTCGTCGATAACCTGCGTGGATGACGCATGGCGGCTGTGCTGTGCGTATGTGTGCTTAGTTGAGGCATATAGACATATGGCGACAAAGCTGACGTCATTAGGCTGTTGTCGGCTGCGAGCTACCCCCAAAATGTGCGGCCGCTGCTGGGGGGACGAGCAAGTGGTGGCAACTGCCACTTGGCCCAGTTGCCTCAAACACTTGGCGGCTACAAACTAACAACTAACAGCTACAAGCTAGCAATTACAGTAAACTGCTTGAAGGCAATAGTCAGCAGAGTTGGCAGTCAACAGCTCCAGCTAACAGCTAGCAGCCAACAGCCAACAGCCATCAGGCAATGGCCCGCAGCTACCAGCTGTGCAGCGATCCACAACAGCAGCCACGTTCACGTCCACGTTCGCATCCCACGCAGTCAATTAAGAGCGCGCCTTTGGCTATTGGGTTACACACTTCGGCTTGCGCCTGGCCGTTGCCCGTCAGTCAGTCAGTCAGTCTGTCCAGTCAGCCAGCTAGCCAGCCATTCATTGGGCCATTCATTTGGGATTTTTGTAGTCAGCATTTAAAATTATTTATTAGAAGCAACAGCTCCACCCGCCGACCCCGACGTGCTGCAGCGAGCTTGTCGAGCCGGGGCGTATCAAATGTTGTGCTACGTTTTGCACTGTTTTTGTTTTTATTTGTATGACTGCTGCTGTTGTTGTTGTTGTTGTTGTTGTTGCTGCTGCTGCTGTTTAGCTGAGGAGCTCTGTTGGCTTTGGCTTTGGCTCTTGTCTTTGGGTTTTGCCAGTCAAACGAGCCAAGCCGGCCCAGGCGAACGCGTTTCGCTGTCTGGCGCTTGCCGCTTGGCGACAGCAATTTACCTTTAAGCGAATGCAAAAGTATGCGTAAAAAAAGTAGTCAACAACAACAGCAGCACCAGCAACAGTAACAGCAACAACAACAGCAACAACACAATTACCCCAAGAGAGCGACTGGCCGAGTCTATAAATAAGCCAAAAGCTAAAAGAAGCGCCATAAATCATAGGAAGACACACGAGTGCCGAGTTATTATGCGATCATATTTTAATTGCCGGATTATTATTATGCTGAGGACCCGGCTCTGCGATACAGCGAGACGCGTACCTGGCCGACACATACAGCGACAGGCGATCCCAGTCCCAGACCCAGTCCCAGTCCCAGTTTCATTCCGAATCCGAGTCCGAGTTCCAACTCGTCTGAGCAGCGACTGCAAACTAGACCAAAGCAAACAAAACACCTGCAGACCGCCTGTCTCTGATCATGTCTATGCTGGGACAGGTGCGTGCACCGAAAAAAAGCCGCAACAAAACAACAACAAAAACATGAATGTATGATAAAACATGAATTGGTCAGCAGTCGAATACCCTGCAATTTGGATGAAAAGCTTAGGGAATGGACTGCTGAAACAACTAATGCTTATTCGTATGTAGTAATACCTATACTAGTCTGTATAGTTGGGATACAGTTTTAAGGATTAGAGTTCTGTGCAGGTATAAGATAAGCATAAGCCAAATTAATACGAACCCAATGCAACGCTTAAGCTAATATTCAATAATAGATAAATCTCGTATTATATATGAAGGCATTTAGGAATGCTCTGGGAAATTTTATAAAATAAATATTTATACAAATATACACAAATATATGCGAACTTTCCTATATAGCTCGGCTTAGTCCTTCAGATTCATATCTTTATATTAAAATTCAATATTTATTCAGTCAATTTAACTCATAGATTTTCTGCCTTTACTCGCCCTAAATACTTATTAGCCGTATTTCGACAAATTGCAAATACTCCTTTCATTGTTAGAGTGCTGAGATCTGAAATGCAGTTGCAGTTGCAGTTGCAATGTTGCGCCTGCAACTGAGCAAACGAGTTGGGTTGTTGTGTGAGTGTGCGTGTGTGTTGGCTAAACAGGTATGGTTGCATTTTTACCATAAAGCGAACAGCAACTACAACTACAACTACAACTACAACAACATGAGCAACAATAAAAAGCAACACCTAGGCCCAGAGAGCCTGTCCAATTGTCGTTGTCGTCTAAGCTCGGCTGACTGTCATCCAACTCTGCCTACTGTCCAGCCAGCCAATGTGGCCTCCATATATACACCTATATATATATATATATATTTATAAAGAGTGTCTGTTCTGGCCAGATATGCCAGCAAATGTCTGCATTCATATTTACTCCATAAGCCATGTTAAACCCCCGCAGGCCACAGTATCCAGTACCCAGTACCCAGTGCCTGATGTCGAGCTCTCAGTTCCCAGTCGCCAATCCACATACCAAGTCCCATCCCTCACTCTGCCCAGTTTTGAGATATTACTGGTAACTGCGTACGCAGTTATTACCAACATTTCTTTCAGTTTTTTTTATTGCATTTGTTTGTCTTGATGTCATTTTCTTCTCTCTGTAATTCTCTGGTACTTTGTTGTCTTTAATGAATGCATTGTAATTCCTCAAGTTTTAGTGCAACATTTTAATAAAACTCGCGAGCAGCCGGAAATTGTTATCGTATGTTTTTTTCTCTCATATTTTCTTGCTATTAAATAAGTAACATTTATTGAGTAGTGTTGGCCAAGCCATTGTAATTGCATTTGAAACGTGATCTTTGCTCATTAATGAGAGATATAGTTGTAGATAGTAAGTAGATGTGTACACATATGTGGGGCATGCTAAATTTGACACATCGTTACTAATGAGATAAACAATATGATTCATAGGCTGGCTACTCATACAATACAATGGGACTGTGATTGAGCTATAGCGATGAATACGTTGTAATTGTGAAATTCAAATGACAGATACCATCTATTAGCGAGGTATTTAGTCGGTTTGCGCAATAGCTAGTACTAGCTAGTACACTAGTTGTGTTGAATTATGACTCGGTTGCTATCAAATTCCATGCGTAATAAAGTGACTCTACAAACATCAATTATCAATTCGATTACAGTTGGAACTTTGCACCATTGAACGAATTGTGTGAATTTTTAAGATACACACTAGCCAAATTATACGAATCATTTGAAAATGAATCAATTCCAAGATCTGTGCTGAAGATAAAAGGAATTCGCTCTAAGATCTGTGTTGGCCCATAAATTATTTTAATATTAAACGCTGAATCAGCATGAAATGAAGAAGCTGAGGCACATGCTATACGCTCTCTCTCTCTAAGGTCTCTAAGGCCCGTTTTCAATGTCTTTATATACTCAATTCGCTGCTAAGTAATCGTGGAAAATTAGGAAATTCCCACAGATGATTTGAAATTTTTCAAATAACATTTAGTTCCGGCAAATCTTTAATTCAACACTATATATTTAATTTTCTAGAATAGAATTATTAGATTAGGTGCTTAAGGTGGCTGATTTAAAGGTTTTTAATGTATGCTTCGATGATTTTTAATAATAATATATATAATAATACATATTTAACTACGTATTTCTACTAATTTGTCTTTATATCTGTCTCGCTCATTTTGAGTAATTCCGTATCTGCCTTTGTAGTCTCCTTCATTCGTTTGATTGTTGATTGTGACACACTAAACTATTAAACATTATCTATCACCGTTAAATGAATGAATAAGAGCGCCATATAAGGGCACATATTGAAAGCTTATGGTTTATATGTATTACTAATGCGTCTTTTGCACAAATTACGATTTTCATTCATAAATTCAAATTTACTTCTATATTAAAGCTTTCAGCTTAACTTTTTCCTGCTATAAATCTTCACTTTAGTGTCATTTAGAAACGATTTCAACGTTACGCTTAACTGGCTGCAAATGTGACAATTTCAACAGACCCAAGACGACAAACAAATACAAGCTCAACTGTAAATTTCCGCTTTGTAAATTAGGTGTACAAATTGCTATGCAGATTTGTTAATTGCTTTGAGTAGGTAAAAGGCAAACATATGTTTGAGTGTTTGAATAATAATAAGAGTGCTTGCTGCTTTGATTCCAGCTCGATTCACTCATTTCACAATTGTGACTACACGACGTACATTCATAAAATTCTACAACTGTGCGCAGAGTGGGGGCTAGATGGGGATAGGACGGCGACATTCAGAGATAGGCTGTACGTGAGAGACACCAGAACAAGTGTTCAGAGAAACAGTGTCTCTCTCTCTCTCTTTCTCTTTCTCTCTCTCTATTACGCTCCCGCTTTGTCTGTCTCTGCGTCTCTCGTAAAATGTGATAATAGTATTCAAACAATTAAACAATTTTCGCAAAATGTTGAAACAAGTAAAGAGGCGACGGCAGCGGGCAGGGCAGCTGGGCGGGGCAGGGTGCACGCGGCGGGCAGATAGCAAAACGTTTATATGTTCTCATTATAATAAAACAAAATCGCGCTCTACACGTACTTATTGTCAGGCAATAACAACAACAGCGCAACAATAACAATAACAACAGCAAGGCATCAAAAAACAAAAAAAAAAAAAGATTAATTACAAAAGAAAAGTAAAGAGGTAAAGTTTACCCGTAGAATCGACTTCCAGCTGGCGGCGGGAGGCAATCGACTTGACTTTCAGTACAATTGCAGGAACGTAGACGAGGTGGCGGCGGCGTTGGCGACGGCGACGGCGATGACGGAGATGGAGACGGGCTGAAATTGGCGGCGGCGCAGGCAGAATCGAAAATTAATTATGCTTGACATGTTGCCGGACCGAGGAGCAGCAGCAACAGCAGCCGGAGCAGCAGCGGGCGGTGGTGTCGGAGGATGCGATGGTGGTGCTGCTGCTGGAGGCGGAGTCGTCGTTGTCTACTAGCTGTTGCTCTTTTTGTGTTATTGTTGTCGATATGAATCGCATTTTTCAATTGCTTTGTGCGGCTGCTCAACGGCTCAACTGCTCCACACGCCTGTCCGTCGTCTGTCCACCAGCGACTGACTGCTTGGCTTCTATTTCAATTTCAATTTCAATTTCTGTTGCCTCGGTCGCACTTTAAATAACAAATTTTCGCAAATTTTCTGTTTACGGTCAATAATTAATAGCCAAGACGCCACGTGCCACACACACACTTCAAAAGAGACACCTGCACAGGCTCAAAAGTCAGTTCCGGAGGATGTTTAAATACAAATTACGCATACGCCACGTTGTGCCGCAGCTGAACTTGCGTTGAGCTGAGCTGCGCTGCGCTTGGCTTAGCTGCGCGCGCGCTAGTTAATTTATTGTCTATTACTTGCTTGTATTTGTTTATTGTTTATGCCTTAACTCAAATGCAAATGCGAATGCAATTTATGTAAAACGCAACGCTGGGCGCAGCGGCTGCAATTGCCAATTGCGCGCCAATTTGTTCTTGTGTTTATTTTGTTTAGCTTGAGGCTTGTTTGAAGCGTATTTCAAAACAACAAATTTCGCTCACTAAATGTTGCACATTTCAGATTTGTAATACATTTATTTTGGTATTAATTTTGTTTCTGTTTTTTTATATTATATTTAATAATATTATAATATACACACATTGAAAACACGCGATAACAAAGCTTGGCTCAAGCTGTTGCAAGGCAGCGCGGGGGGTAGACTTCTCTCGTCTCTCTTTGTCTGTCTTTATTTCTCTCAATATTTGTATGATATTTATTCTGTTTTGTTTTCTATTTTCTTTATCTGATAATTCAATTGGATTTCATATAAATTTTCCTTTCATCAAATGATCGATGTGCGACGCAGGCGAGCGCGCGTAATTTTTCAACAACACGGGAAAAACTTTTCCTGGCTGCGCAGGCAGTTTTCTTAGCTCAGCTGCAAACGGCTTCGGCGCTTTTCTTTCCGCTATTCTCTGACCGTTCGCCGGCGCTGTTAAACGAGAACTGAATGCACGAATCGCAGGCGAACCACGAACGACTAACGACTGCGGCGAGAGCAGAGCAACGACAAGAGTTCGAAAACAAAACGAAACGAGTCGTGCACGAGTCGTGCGCCTTCTTCTTGTTATTGTTGCTGTTGCTGTTGCTATTGTTGTTGTTATTGTTGTTGTTGTTGTTAACAGCAACAGTCGCTGCGGATTGGTTTTTCTTCGGTTTTAGGGGGCTCGAATCTTTAACTAGCGCCAGGCAATTGGCTTGAGGTCAAGTTGAACTATAGATGCCATAGAAACAGCATGTATTAGCCATAATGTGATGCCAATTTAGCGCTAAGTTTTAGGATTAATTACTATTTTTTACTAAGTAATATTTTGATGTAGATAAAAATTGTCATAGCAAATATACTAAATAATGTGTAAAAAATTATATATACAAAAAATATAAATAATATAATAATCCACTCTTTGTCCTCTAATAATATATTTGTTGTACTTAACTTTTTTGAGATTGTTTTCAAATCAAACCTCGAATTCGGCTCTTAAGAGTGACTTTCTACACTGGCCTGAAATGCTCCGCCGTGAACTACTTTTATAGAATTTTTGTGTGATTTAATATATATTATTTACAATTATTACATTATGCATTTAATATATATTATTTACAACATGAAACACTTCAATGTTATTTACTTTAAAGAACGTTTAATATTACCTCTAGCTAGTTAGTTATAAATGCTAAATCGATGCCTTATTTTCAGCTCAGCCATGTATTAGCTCCACTTAGGGTACCTTTCAATAATATAATATCTTAGCTTCAATGGAATTTCTGTTCTTTTGGTTATTTCAGCCATTCGATGTTGCTTGTATTTGTTTTCCTTTTTCGGTAGGTGTTCAAAGTCCGCTGCGTTGATTTGGTGCTGCTCGAATTGCCTGCTTGCTTGATATATTTTGTTGGTGCTGCAATCAGCAATTGGAATATGATTTCCAGCATTCCAACAAAGTGCACAACAATGTGAAATGAACACCTTGTTAAACAGGTGCTCTGTGGCACACAGGTGAATGGCTCATTTGACAGCCCTCGCATATGCCTGCCTGCCCGCCTGCCCGCCGTCCGCCGGAACGCCCTCCTCAAACAATGCTGGCTAATAATGTTATCTCTATTCTCAATTTCAGACGCTTCCCAGAATTCTGCGCTGCAAATTAGAGTTTGTCAACTGGCATTTTAATATGCCTCGAACATTGTTCTGTTTGCTCTGATATTGCAATTGTCGAAGGAAATACCATTCGGAATACCTAACCCAATAATCACGAGCAGCGGCGGCATCACTTTTATTTTATGAATGGAATGCAAAGTATGCAAGGCCAATTGAAGTTTACCTATCTATAAAGATATCATTATGATCCATTAGGTAAGTTCTAATAGCGTCAGTTCAGAAACTCGGGGAACCCAGGGGAATTGTTTGCAAATGAAAAAAAAATAAATCGCACAAGTTTACCAGGAAATTAAACAGATTTCTGCTTGTGTAGAATTTAATATAAATTATGGTAAAATTTTGTATCAGAAAGCATAAAGTAAGAATATATTGAAACATGTTTGAAGTGTAATAGGTAATAAACTTTGTTGGTTTTAATCTATGCGAATATAAGTCTTAAGAAATGAGTCAATATAGTTCATTTGCAGGCAATAAAATCGAAATTCGTTTACTTTGAGTGTGAATGAATATTGTGTGGAAATGAAATGAAAGCTATATAATCAGGCAGATCAACAGCTAAGACCTGGCTTCCAATTGTCTTATAAATATTTCAAGTAAGTCATATTTAAACCCACTTGACTAAAAAAAAAGAAGAAGAAGAAATGTCTACAACATTTCCACATTAAAGTGACCCAAACAAATTGCAAATGTCATTTACAAGGCATAGACATTTGGAATAATGCATTAACTAAATGCAACAGCACATGCATTACAACAACAGCAACTGCAACATGAACATGAACAGCAGCAGCAGCAGCAGCAACAAACAGCTGCATTTTACAGTTAAATACAGCAACTAGCACTTAGCCGCACTTGTTCAAAAGCCACAAATCTTTTATGGCATTTGTTTCAAATGCGATAATAACACTTAAGTTGGTAAATTGTTGGCTTAAACGCAAATTAAAGACAACTTTTGACTAGATAGAGCTGAGCAGGCGTTGAAGGCGCGCAGTGCGGGCATATGGGGGCGGAGGTAGTCAGGTGTTTTATCTGTTTTTTTTTTCCTTCTTTTTGCCAGGTATAATTTATACTTAGCCAAACGCCAAATCAAATTGGTAAGCATTTGACATTTATGCTCTGAGCTGCGAGCTGTGAGCTGAGAGCTGTGAGCTGTGAGCTGAAGCTGGAGCTGAGGAAAAGCACATTCAATGTAATCAAATGCCATGGAAAATGCAGTCACCAGGCAGGTGGGCGGAGGAGGGGGCAGCAGGAGATGATTTATGCACTCATTGTATAAGATTAGCTAGACATAGGCATAGACCCGGCCAGGCTAGAGCTAAGCAAGGAAAAACTTTGCGCAGTTATCACGAATGCTGTTGTTAGCCTCAACAGTTGCCAGTTGCCGCGTCGCCGCATAGCCGCATCGCCACGCTGCGAATCGAAGTTGGTTTCGGTTTTCGTTTTCCCAGGCGCACATTTTGTCACAAGAGGCTGCCATTATTTATGAGAACTTGCAACCAGCTAACAATTTGCAAATGCCGCTGCCTCGCATGCATGCAACCACAGCCCCTCCCCAGCCCCAGCTCTCAGCTCTTAGCGCTCGGCTCACAGCTAACAGGCCGCAGCTGTGGCATCATGTGGCAGACCCTGACGCAGTCTATGATTTACTTTGTAAATTCAATAATTGCGCTTCATTAAATTACTTATATTTGTATAGAGTTAACTGTTATTGTAAACAACTTTAAAAGCAATTTGGCATAAACGTCATTGCCAGCAGCAGCCGCAGCAGCTGGGGCTTGGGGTCTGGAGGGAAAGCGTTTCGACCCACAATTTTCCACGCCACTTGAGCGTAATTAGCCGTTGAGCTTCTAAGCGCTATGCAAATAGCACAAGCAGCGCAATGCCAGCAGCCTCTCTGCCTTCCACCTTAGCCACGCCTACCTACGTCCATGTGGAGCTCAACTCTCCAATCTTTTTCCTGCAGCTCTGGCGTCTATATATAAAACAGTTTTCGATTCTATTTTGATAACTGCAAATATTTGCAATTAGCCATTATTTGCCGTACTTTACGTAGTATCTGCTGTGTGTGTGTGTGTGTGCTGAGCAATTTGTGCTTTCTGCTTGCGCTTTGCATTTTTAACTGTTTTATAGCGTCACCTGAGCTGTGGCCTAATCCCAAGCAAAATAGATACGGAGCATCCACTAAACTTTAAACTCAGAGTTCTCAGTTCGAACTGCGTTGCTCTTTGGGCATTTTCCATGAGCTGGAAGCCTCGTGCGTTGTAGACAAGAAAAAAGAGGCAGGTGTAGAATAGGAGGGCTTTGGGAGATATGCACGACTCGGAAATACCTTAAGAACAGCCTCCGACTTTAGTTTTGAATCATCTTATTACACAAATTATATATCATCTTATTATTTAAGTATGATTAATTTTTAACAAGAAAATATATTATTAAGGTATATGAGTTTGTATTAGTTGGCACTGCTAGTTTTTGAGCTCTAAGGAAATCCATGTTGCTGGATCTCGATTTACCTGTATAGTAACTAAAGTTGTTGTTGGCAATATGATAAATGATAAATTATTTTAAATATACTTTAAATGACAAACCTAACTATAAATAGATCAAGCGAGGTGTGAAAATATGACAGGACTTTTTTTTCATTTGCTTGATACAGATAAGATTGCAAACGGAGCAAAAGAGAAAGTCAAACATGACTTAAACGCCTCAGCTTGTCAGCCTACTCGAAAGTTGTCAACCTATTCGACTATGACATGCATAATTCATATACATACAAAATATGATACCCTGTTAAGCAGTTTGCTATTACAGGGTATCCATAGAAGAAAGCCACAAACAAGCTGCTCAAATTTCTAATGGCCATCGGCAAAGTTCATTTGCCTGCAGTTGAGCAGTTGAAGCAGCTTGGCCAGAAGTAAGCGATACCATTATTGGGATTGGGACGGCACTTGACACAACACAAAGGCAACCACTAGCTGGCTGGCTGGCTGACTGGCTGGCTGGCTGGCTAGCTACTCCTATTCCTATTCATTCAGTTCAACTGCTAGCTAAGTAGCGCCAACTGCGACTGCCGACTGCCTGTCAGACGGAGATCAAAGCGTCGCGTTGTTTACACAGGCGGCAAAAGTCGCATGCTGTAATTACATAGATGTGTGTGCGACGACAACAACAGCAGCATCGGCAGCAATAACAGCAACAACAACTATAAAGTCAGCTAGAGCAGCAACAACAAGGACAACACATTATATGAAAAGTCTTGCAACGGGCTGTCAGCTTGGCTAATTGAAACTGGACACACGCTGAGACGCAGACAGCTGCGGCTGGAGGCAAACATAATGGCATTGGGAGAAAGCAGACTGAGCGGGGAGTGCGGGCGTGTGGGCGTGGTGGCGTGGCTGGGTAAACAACAATATAACTACCAATGTACACAAGCAAACATATAAGTCAGCCAGCCACAGCGCGTATGAGCAATATGCTACAGTTGGAGATTCACTGACTCGCAAACTGTTTGCTGTGCATGTTTTGCATGTGACGCGATGCGCTTTATTTATTGCCTTTTGACTTTCATCGCGAAGTTGCGAATCTGCCTTTAATTGAGTGCCTAATTAAAAGGCATTGAATTACACGCGACCCCAAACATTGGCCATGGCAATTAAATCGAACAAGCGACGCATTTCCAGCCTTGTTTTTGTTGTTTTCTTCATTTCGTGCCGTTGTCGATGCAATGCTGCTGATTATTTCGGAAATGCCAATCAGATGAAAGGCCCACAGAACGTACAAAGCATACAGCATACTGCAAACA